ATGCTCCTTCTTAGCAGAACGTAATTTAGCATTTTCGACAACCGAGCCCCTAACCAAATTTCTACAAGAAAAAAAATTATTAAAAGCCAACGCGATTATTTAGCCCCTTTAAACTTGCACATTATTGCCCTGAAATTTAATGGGCTAAAAAATCTGAATAGAAAGTTGAAAATCTAGCTGAAAATTTACAGATTGTTTATAGTTTTTGCACAATTTTTGTGGATTTATATTTTGTTTGTTAATGAGCTTGGATTTTATGGAAAAATAATCAACATTAAATAAACGAAAGGGAATCAGCCAAAATCGATCAAAATGATCATGACTTAATCAGTTGATCACAAGTGAATGTATAAAATGATTTTTATATTAACGATCTCAAACCAGTTAACAATAAATTTTAACTGTGCTCTGTCGAAATGATATTTTAATATACTTTACGTACATATCGAGCCCTAACCGCCAAAATAACGTAAGCGACATTTTTTTCAAAATTTTCTTTTTGATGCAGAAATGCATCTAGATGCTCTAGGAATATTTCTGCATCAAAAAGAAAATTTTGAAAAAAATATCGCTTACGTTATTTTGGCGGTTAGGGCTCGATATGTACTTTTGTATACAATAAAAGTTTAAATAAGAACACTTTTTTGTACATTCATTTGAAAAAGACGTTTTTGGGTAGGAAATGACGTTTTTTCAGACCAAGAGGGACGTTTTCTCATGCCGAAGACCTGACAACACTGGTTGTAAGGACCATCTGGCTAGTCTGCCACTTAAGTCTTTCAGCGACATCAGTAAGCAGCATCAACTCTGTGTATGGCCGGACTTCTTTACAGCCATTATCGCCGCGAGACATTTTTTTCGGTAACACTGTACTTGGATGACAGTCATTCAGTTTTTGGGAGAACTGCGCGGTGGGCTTCTCCGATCCGTCAGTTTCTTTCTGGTACAGTGTAACATATAACCATGGCATGTAGTATGTCTAAGTATAGGTTCTGTACTTGTTTGGTAAATACTTTAATGGCAATCATAAGCAAGCTGGCACGCGTTGGTTTCCGGCTACTTTCTCGTCGGCTAATGGGGTGGTATTCATGCCGCTTATGTCCTGCCAAACCTACTGCCACCTGCTAAAATAAATTTTAAATATCGCGTGCTCAAAACGAAGAAGGAGTTTGAGAAGGATATAGAGAAAGAGAGCGATTTTTGGTTTTAGCCCTGCTAGAAGTAGAAGAAGTATTTATTTTAACACTAATTTAAAAATTCTTAAACCTATTCGCATAACCGAGTTATTCAAAATATATTCCAAGCTGCAGGCGTTAATGCGGATGTACATACGTGTATATACATAGACACATGTGAATACCCGAAATTTGTATATATGTATGTATGTTTATGCAACTTAGATCTAGGCAACAGTTTTCTCAAAGAAAAGGTTACTAAATATGTATATCACTATAGCTATAAACGAAAGGAAAAACAACTATATGTGTTCCTCTCCCATGTACCCTGACGGCATTGCCAACATCAAATGCATATAGGTAAGGTAAAATAAAAAATAAAGAAAAAGCTTTTGATAGACTTACAAATTGTTGCGTTGCTCCCACGATGAAAGATCTTTCATGGTGTTAATGTTCGAAATGTTGCCGGAAATGTTCCAAATGATGTTGCCAAGGTGGTTGAAGTCAGGGCTCATGCAAAAGTATGGAGATGAAAACTTACACACATATACATGCGTAAACTGGTCTAAATCTAAATTTTTACACTTTGGTTCTGATACACTTTACGAAATTCACGGTACTTAAACTTCCTATGGGATATGTGCAGTTCGCAATATTACTGCCTTATTTCGAGCTGAAATTTAGTATTATTTGTTCAATAAATTCTTTTTCATAAGTATTAGAAAATTTAACGGGAAATTATACACTTGTTGTTGTTGTACCAGAGCCAATATGTAACTTCAGCACCGTACAGTCTGTTCAAAAACTTCTATATATGTATAAACATATGTACGTTGGAACTTCTGTACTTATACGCATATATGTACTTATATCCGTGTACATATATGCATTTAGGGTTTTAGACTATGTAATCTTAATATAACCGTATTCACTTTTATATATATATGTATATATATATATATATTTTTTTTTTTAACTGTTCGTTTTCTTCACTTTTCCTCTAGGTATGGTATAGGTATATGGGCACGTCCCCTACTTATTTTTCAACAAAACAACTTATAACCATGGGTTCGTTTCTAAACCCCTTTTCCGCACTTAAACACTTTTTTGATTCGCACTACTGTCACCGATTTCGCTGCCGTCATTAAATGGCCCACGTGCCAACTACGATCGCCGCGCAATACTGTCTTCTGCTAGGAGCTTGTCCCTTATGTATGAACGTGCATGCGTAATTATGCCCGAATATGATATACATATGTATGTTTTATACGCATAGTGCCAGGTCTGGAGAGAAAGCTTTATGTTATGTTGGCACTATATATATGTACATATATCGTCACTCATATGCCAGAAACATGAATGTGTAAAAAAAAATGAAAATTTCGGAAAATCTAGTTGGAAATTTATTTATTTTATTTTTTTTTTTGTGCATTTGGAAGTGTAAGATATGTGCTTTCCGTGTACGCATGGTATTCTGGGTTTTGGTATAACGTAAAAAAGTCAACCCAATAACTTAAAACTGATAAATTGGCACATTCTTGCTTCTGCCATGAGGGGGAACGATATGTAACTATGTGATTAGATATGTAATTGGTTTTTATTTACCCGAATAGGATTTGGCACTGATATGTGCACAGGTATAATGTCTCGCAAGGTGCACTATAACCGCAGCTTTGGGGATATTTATGTACCTAGGTGTACTCTTATGCATCCGACTGGAAAATCCTATGGTTTTGGAGATTTGCATATTTTACTCTTTTCTATTTAGCTAATGCATAAACTTATGCACTGGTGGCAATTTTGCAATGGTATGAAAATGGCTTACCTTGATAAATCTGCCACCGCAAATAATAAAGTAAAACAAGGAACCAGGTGCCACTAAAATTTTAGATTTCTATTCAAATCTAGGCTAATACTGCTAATAAGCCGGAGTGTTCGGTGTTCGCTCCACTGCGTCTTGAACGTGAAAGATCAGAATGCCTCAATTTTTGTTCGATGAAGCTTTAACTTCGGCTCAATGATAGGGCAAGTTTGGTCGGCGAGGACTGGAAAAATACATAGTTGTGCAAAGGAGATTCAAGTAAGTTTGACTAGAGCCGTGTTTAGCACGATGACACAGGGCGACCACCGGAAATGATGAAGAATTTCCGCAAATAAAAGTTTGTGATTAAGTAGTATGAACACAAGTACATGTACGCGTAAAAGTGTACATAAAAAGGCAAGTAGGAAAAAGTAAAAGCATCGCCCGAGGCGAACAGCAGTCCGGGCTACAAGCGCCATTACAACAGCACGGCGCCCACACCGTAATCGGATGCGTCACATTGGACAAAGAAACGCTTTGAAAAGTCGAGGTGTCTAAACACAGGTGCGCTCGTGAGCGCTCTTTTNTTCTAATAGCTTCTTCTAATAATTCCAATCTGCGCAGGAGCTCATATGTATCGCCGTTGGTTACCATATGTTGTCCAAAAGCCATGAAATATGGGGATGTCCCAATCGCTGAGTGAGACGCTGATCGTAAGGCACAACCGATTCTGCTAAGCTGTTCATCCCAATTCTTCTGGTTGGGCTTGACGTACGATTTCATAGCTGCGATTACAGAGCGGTTGACGCGCTCAGATGCATTTGCTTGAGGTGCATGAACCGCTGTGTACACGTGCTTGATGTTGTATTTTCGAAGAAGAGTGTTAAAAATGTGTGATTTAAATTGGGATCCGTTATCTGTGACAATGGTTTCTGGAACGCCAAACATGTGAAAAAGCTCTTCCAACCAACCTAAAACTGCGTCCACCTTGAATTTCTTTTTATTGCTTTTAAAACAGGGAACTTTGAGAAATGGTCTAATACTATAAAAATTCCGATGTTTCCCGATTGGGATCTAGGGTAGGGACCTAAGTAGTATACATAAAGAATTTGGAAAAAACGACTAGTGGTGGTTATTCTGCCCATAGGTGGTCTCAATATGCTATTTGGGGGCTTTGTACACTTACAAACTTCGCAAGCGTTAATATAGTTTTCACGTCATCCACCAGATATGGCCAATAATAACAACGCCGGACCTTTTCAATTGTTTTGTTTATGCCACAATGTGCGGCTAAAGGCCCGTCATGCGCTTTCTTCAGCACTTCGTGAATCATATCGTTTGGTATCCACAGTTTCCACGTCATATCGTCATGGAGTCGCTCACCAGTAGCATGTTCGGTCCGTCTGTATATGTATCCGTCAACGACTTTTATATCAGGAAATTTGTTTTGATTCTCATTAATCTTCCTGATGAGTTCGCAGTACTGGTCCGATTGGAAGTGTATTGATTGTAGGTCAACGAAAACTCCGCAGTTGATTTCATTGGTGTTAACTCGCGAAAGTGCATCAGGTACTACATTCTGGCTACCTTTTCTGTGCTGTATTTTGAAAGTGATGCCTTGAAGCTTTAAAGCCCATCGAGCTAGTCTTGAGCTAAGATCAGTTTGAGACGTGAGCCACTTCAACGATGCGTGATCCGTTATTACCGTGAACTCATGTCCTTCCACATACGCTCTAAACTTTTTAATACTAAGCATTGCGGCTAAACATTCCTGTTCCGTCACTGAATAATTGCGTTGTGCTTGGTTGAGTTTTTTAGACATAAATGCTATAGGGATTTCTTCGCCCTCCGAAGTCATCTGAACCAATACGCTTCCTATGCCTGATTTACTTGCATCACAGTGTATATAAAAGGGTCGTGTAAAATCTGGACTATATAGTACGGGTGCTGAGATTAAAATTTTCTTCAACCCTTCAAATGCATTCTGTGCTCCTTCGTTCCAAGCGAATTTGCGATTGCCTTTAAGCAAATCGGTCAAAGGAGAGGTAACTGCAGCATAGTTTTTGATGAATTTTCGGTAACAACCCGACATTCCCAAGAATCTTCTAAGTTGTTTTAATGATCGCGGTTGCGGAAACTCCGTTATTGCGGATACTTTTTCCGGATCTGTTTGAATTGTTCCGTTCCCGACTATGTAGCCTAAGTAGCGCACCTCCTTAAGGCAAAATTTGCTCTTGGCAACATTTATGGTCAGCCCTGAGAAACGAATGCATTTTTCGACTTCACGCAGAACGTCAAGATGCTTTTCAAAGGAATTCGAGATTATCAAAAGATCATCGAGGTAGACGAAAACTTGTGACTTGAGGTGTGCAGGAATGACCTTATCCATGAGTCGGGACATTGTTTGAGGCGCATTACACAGACCGAACGGCATAACTGTATACTGATAAAGGGGCCTTCCTGGCACAGTGAAAGCGGTCTTGGCTCTTGACATGGGATCTAATGGTATTTGCCAGAATGCATCTTTAAGATCGAGACTAGTTATAAACTCTGCTTTTGGCAACCGAGACAAAATACCATCAATGTTAGGCAGCGGGTAGGCATCCTTTATGGTGACCGAATTCACTTTCCGGCTGTCAAGACACAATCTAACCTTTCCTGGCTTACGGACCAAGACAATAGGAGATGACCACGCACTGTCGGATTCTTCAATTACGCCTAGCTTCAACATCCGGTCAAGCTCCTCATAAATTATTTTCTCAATGGCAGGTGACACGGGAAAATGCCTTTGTTTTATTGGCTTGGCGTCACCAACGTCAATCACATGAGATAACAAAGTGGTTTTACCCAAGCCTTCGTTGGCAAATGACGGGAATTTGATTATTATGTTGTCAAGTTGTTTGCGTTGTAGCTCCGACAATAAATGTGTAGCGGTTTTATCCGAATCTTCGCGTATACTGAGCTCACAAATTAAGGTTTTAGGCAAGAGATTAAATGACTTCCAAAAATCAATTCCTAAATAAAGATTTTCTCTCAGGCTTGGAATAATGAAAAGCGTAATGGGTTTTGTAGCCCCTTGAAATGTTATATTGGTTTCAACGAATCCAATGATGTTTTGCGATTGACCGTCCGCGGTTCGAACAGATGAATGTATTTTTGAAACGATTTCGTAGCAACTAGTTCATTGGCAAATTGTGCACCCACGCAGCTGATAGACGCGCCAGTGTCTAATAACCCTGACACGGATTTATTGAATAGGTTCACTTCAGCATATGGGCGAATATTTGACGATTTCCCGAGAATGGAGTTCACAAACTTTTTACGATTTTCCCGGACTTTACTCCAGAACGATCGCATACGAGCCTCGGAACGACATGAGCGTGTTGGCTTTGGGACGATGGAATCATTGAAGATTCTCTGGCGTGCTTTCTCATACTCAGCCAAGCGAATGTGATACGGTTTAATTGGAACAATAGCTTTAATATTTTCGGGTGATGAATCTTGATACAGTTGGGTAGTTGTATCAGAAGTAATTAATTGGCATTGTTCGTTTGGTTCTGTTTGTGTGCACTCATCGGTGCACTATCTTGCGAGTTTTTTGACTTGTTGCAATTGTTGCAAGTAGGCCTGTATGTATTTGTTTTGCCACAACCATAGCAAAAGACCTTGCGCTCACCTAGACAATCCTGGTAGCGATGACCAGGTTGCGAGCAATTCCAACAGGTTAAAGAAATGGCGGCCAGGTCATTGCCCATGGCTACGTCCAATGGCTTTTCATCCTTAATTTCAATGCTATCTTTTTCATTTGAAATTTCAGTGACATATTTTCGGATCGGATTATGCCTTGTTGAGTAAGTGGGGTGTCGACGTTGCAAGTCTTCTAAGAAAAACTCACGCTTCCTACAAATTTCTCTTAAGCGAGAAACGGAAAAAATTTGTAAGTTCAGAACGTCGTGTTGTATTTCAGGAAGTAAGTTCCACTAATGCTTGTTCAGAAATTGGTTCCGATACATGGTCTATAATTTGGCATATCGATTCATAGAAAGAGTCGAAGGTTTCATTTGCTCTCTGCTTCCTGTCTCGTATCATTTCGCGATAGTCCACATCACTGCGCGTGTCATTATATTGGATGCGTAAGGCATTGCATAAGTCTTGCCATCTGATGTTACGCACTGACTTATGATAACGCCAGAACCAATCGCTCGCCTTACCATCGAAAAGTGCGTTGGCATAGCGACACAGTAACGCAAAATTTCCGCCAAGCGTTTGCATTGTGAGTGCTTCTACCCGGTAGATGAAATTTTCTACCGACAGACCATCCGAACCCCCAGTAAATTTAACCTTCCAGTTATATATAATGAGGCCGACTTTGTCTGGTCGAAAAGATAAATCAGGATCAGCCTGATTGTGGTAATGTTCAGGAATGGGAGGCGCTTGTTCAGCATTGGAAAGTGGGGGCAGACCGAACAGTTGCTCAAAGGTTTGCTGCTCTACGGCTGGTAAAGTCTGAACTCGAGGATTTGCCGGAAAAGAACTACTAGGCCGAGCAGGAGGAGCTTGCATGCTAAGTCTCCTAAATCCTGCTTCCATATTGGTTTCCACGAGTTCTTTAATTTGGTGGCTTAGTTCGTTAAGCATCTGCGCCTGCTGAGCTCTGCGAACCTCATCAGGTGATTTTTGTGGCGATTTATTTGACTGTACCGCATTTGTAACATTGCTGGCGGCTGCGCCACTATCAACTTCAAGGGGAGGACCAGAAATTGCCGTTTTGGTTGTTTGTGCCCTGGTATTGTGGCCATGTTGCGGATACTTAGCCGGGGTTAAAGACTTGGCTTTATGTGGAATAAGCTTTTTGTGACAAACTGGACAAGAGTCCTCCGTTTGGGAATATTTGAAGAGACAAGACTTGTGAAAAGTATGAGTACACCCTGCGGTGGTTGACTGCGACGTACTACTAATGCAGTTCTTGCATATGTTGCACTGCATGGCGTTTGCTTGAACTATCAGGTCTTCCGTACTATTTCTAACAGACATTATTTATTTTCAAAATGAGTTTAAAAATATATGTAGGTGATAATGATCAACAAAATTTTCGGGTAATTATTTGATTTCGTTAGCTACTCGGCAAGGAGTGTTTCAGTGTTGTGTGGACATAATTTATCGGCAAGCTAGCAAGATAACAAGAAAACTACAACGATTATAAAAGATCTATGCTGACTCCTTTCTTGGGTGACTAGTTCAAACACTTTTCAATCCAGAAATTTCCTAAGTAAGGAGGTCAGCAAATGCAGAATATAGTAACTCAAAAACTTTCAATGGTTTTTAGTTTGACGAATCACAAAAATAAAACATATTCCAAAAGAAAATTGGTAGGGAAAGAATACCAAATAAGATCTTAAAAGGCGGCCAGTTGGTAGTCAAATGCCACCAAATCTGTATTTCCAGCGAATCAAAGAAAAACATTCAGTAAACTCTCGATAGAACCTAACGCTTCGACTATCTATGTATATCCGTTGGTTTAGATACCTTTAAGCAAAAATTCTATGGTCATATAACATTCCAACCAGATAAAAGAAGAGGAAATATAGAAGTAAGATAAAATGAATGATTGTAAAAGTTTTGGAAACCCACAACTAAAATAAGAAATCGATTTTCAAATTCATGTTCACTAAAATTGGAGAAATTGTTGTTGGGGGCCCACGTTGGGCGCTAATAAATTTATGTAACATATAACCATGGCATGTAGTATGTCTAAGTATTGGCTCTGTACTTGTTTGGTAAATACTTTAATGGCAACCATAAGCAAGCTGGCACGCGTTGGTTTCCGGCTACTTTCTCGTCGGCTAATGGGGTGGTATTCATGCCGCTTATGTCCTGCCAAACCTACTGCCACCTGCTAAAATCAATTTTAAATATCGCGTGCTCAAAACGAAGAAGGAGTTTGAGAAAGATATAGAGAAAGAGAGCGATTTCTGATTTCAGCCCTGCTAGAAGCCTTGTCGAGGTTGTCTTCGGTGGAATTATCAACCCATATTGCCCTCCCAACCTTGACCATTCGTAAGCCTGAGGAAATTAAGTTGTGAATGATCCCTAGTCCTTCCAAGACACCTCCTTGCCGTTTAATCCATGCTCATAGAATTATTTATTTTAACACTAATTTAAAAATTCTTAAACCTATTCGCATAACCGAGTTATTCAAAATATATTCCAAGCTGCAGGCGTTCATGCGGACATACGTGTATATACATAGACACATGTGAATACCCGAAATTTGTATATATGTATGTATGTTTATGCAACTTTAATCTAGGCAACAGTTTTCTCAAAGAAAAGGTTACTAAATATGTATATCACTATAGCTATAAACGAAAGGAAAAACAACTATATGTGTTCCTCTCCCATGTACCCTGACGGCATTGCCAACATCAAATGCATATAGGTAAGGTAAAATAAAAAATAAAGAAAAAGCTTTTGATAGACTTACAAATTGTTGCGTTGCTCCCACGATGAAAGATCTTTCATGGTGTTAATGTTCGAAATGTTGCCGGAAATGTTCCAAATGATGTTGCCAAGGTGGTTGAAGTCAGGGCTCATGCAAAAGTATGGAGATGAAAACTTACACACATATACATGCGTAAACTGGTCTAAATCTAAATTTTTACACTTTGGTTCTGATACACTTTACGAAATTCACGGTACTTAAACTATGGGATATGTGCAATTCGCAATATTACTGCCTTATTTCGAGCTGAAATTTAGTATTATTTGTTCAATAAATTCTTTTACATAAGTATTAGAAAATTTAACGGGAAATTATACACTTGTTGTTGTTGTACCAGAGCCAATAGGTAACTTCAGCACCGTACAGTCTGTTCAAAAACTTCTATATATGTATAAANATAGTTCGAAATCAAAAAAAAAGTTTAATCCATGCTCATAGAATTATTTATTTTAACACTAATTTAAAAATTCTTAAACCTATTCGCATAACCGAGTTATTCAAAATATATTCCAAGCTGCAGGCGTTCATGCGGACATACGTGTATATACATAGACACATGTGAATACCCGAAATTTGTATATATGTATGTATGTTTATGCAACTTTAATCTAGGCAACAGTTTTCTCAAAGAAAAGGTTACTAAATATGTATATCACTATAGCTATAAACGAAAGGAAAAACAACTATATGTGTTCCTCTCCCATGTACCCTGACGGCATTGCCAACATCAAATGCATATAGGTAAGGTAAAATAAAAAATAAAGAAAAAGCTTTTGATAGACTTACAAATTGTTGCGTTGCTCCCACGATGAAAGATCTTTCATGGTGTTAATGTTCGAAATGTTGCCGGAAATGTTCCAAATGATGTTGCCAAGGTGGTTGAAGTCAGGGCTCATGCAAAAGTATGGAGATGAAAACTTACACACATATACATGCGTAAACTGGTCTAAATCTAAATTTTTACACTTTGGTTCTGATACACTTTACGAAATTCACGGTACTTAAACTATGGGATATGTGCAATTCGCAATATTACTGCCTTATTTCGAGCTGAAATTTAGTATTATTTGTTCAATAAATTCTTTTTCATAAGTATTAGAAAATTTAACGGGAAATTATACACTTGTTGTTGTTGTACCAGAGCCAATATGTAACTTCAGCACCGTACAGTCTGTTCAAAAACTTCTATATATGTATAAACATATGTACGTTGGAACTTCTGTACTTATACGCATATATGTACTTATATCCGTGTACATATATGCATTTAGGGTTTTAGACTATGTAATCTTAATATAACCGTATTCACTTTTATATATATATGTATATATATATATATTTTTTTTTTTTTAACTGTTCGTTTTCTTCACTTTTCCTCTAGGTATGGTATAGGTATATGGGCACGTCCCCTACTTATTTTTCAACAAAACAACTTATAACCATGGGTTCGTTTCTAAACCCCTTTTCCGCACTTAAACACTTTTTTGATTCGCACTACTGTCACCGATTTCGCTGCCGTCATTAAATGGCCCACGTGCCAACTACGATCGCCGCGCATTACTGTCTTCTGCTAGGAGCTTGTCCCTTATGTATGAACGTGCCTGCGTAATTATGCCCAATTATGATATACATATGTATGTTTTATACGCATAGTGCCAAGTCTGGAGAGAAAGCTTTATGTTATGTTGGCTCTATATATGTATATGTACATATATCGTCACTCATATGCCAGAAACATGAATGTGTAAAAAAATGAAAATTTCGGAAAATCTAGTTGGAAAGTTTTTTTTTTTTTTTGTTTGTTTTTTTTTGTGCATTTGGAAGTGTAAGATATGTGCTTTCCGTGTACGCATGGTATTCTGGGTTTTGGTATAACGTAAAAAATCCAAAGATTAATCAAGTCAACCCAATAACTTAAAACTGATAAATTGGCACATTCTTGCTTCTGCCATGAGGGGGAACGATATGTAACTATGTGATTAGATATGTAATTGGTTTTTATTTACCCGAATAGGATTTGGCACTGATATGTGCACAGGTATAATGTCTCGCAAGGTGCACTATAACCGCAGCGTTGGGGATATTTATGTACCTAGGTGTACTCTTATGCATCCGACTGGAAAATCCTATGGTTTTGGGGATTTGCATATTTTACTCTTTTCTATTTAGCTAATGCATAAACTTATGCACTGGTGGCAATTTTGCAATGGTATGAAAATGGCTTACCTTGATAAATCTGCCACCGCAAATAATAAAGTAAAACAAGGAACCAGGTGCCACTAAAATTTTAGATTTCTATTCAAATCTAGGCTAATACTGCTAATAAGCCGGAGTGTTCGGTGTTCGCTCCACTGCGTCTTGAACGTGAAAGATCAGAATGCCTCAATTTTTGTTCGATGAAGCTTTAACTTCGGCTCAATGATAGGGCAAGTTTGGTCGGCTAGGACTGGAAAAATACATAGTTGTGCAAAGGAGATTCAAGTAAGTTTGACAAGAGCCGTGTTTAGCACGATGACACAGGGCGACCACCGGAAATGATGAAGAATTTCCGCAAATAAAAGTTTGTGATTAAGTAGTATGAACACAAGTACATGTACGCGTAAAAGTGTACATAAAAAGGCAAGTAGGAAAAAGTAAAAGCATCGCCCGAGGCGAACAGCAGTCCGGGCTACAAGC